AGATATTATATTTTCTATTAGTGTTCCTAGAGATCTGCACTGTGCTAGAAGCCAAATTTCGGTCGATTTTATAAGATCTCAAATTACATGTCCATTTTGTTTGGATGATTTCTGAGACTGTTTAAGAAAAGTAGACACTACAACCTTTCTAACTAAATCACAGAGATTGTTCAATTATTATACAGAAAGTAGATCCTTTGCAAGAAGTCTGAGAAATGGTAGGGAAACGTATATAATGGTATTAATTTATTTGATGTATCTGATCTGTTTCTGCAATAAAGTTAGCTAAAGTCCTTGCAATGTATACAGTTTACATAGAGAGATTTTTTTTTTTGCTCAACAACACTAGAGTTACACTGTAAACATTTCCCCATGCAATAAAAAAAAATGGTTGAAGTTAAGCATAATTTCACAGCTATAAGGAATCATCTTCACCAGCATGCCAGTTCAGCCTTTAACACAAAATGCAAATTGGCCACAAAAGGCACTTGTACATTTTGGTAAATTCTTTGCAAGGACATAAAAATCTGTGTAATGATCCTGAAAGAACCCAGGAGGTGGATATGCAAATCATTCCTTTGAGCATAATGCAGCCAATTAAGCATTCAGAAATCCTCTATTTTAATACAGATATACATGTTCAAGATGCATATATATCGTCTCATCCTTACTACATCTAAATACTGTGAGAATGTAATGCTTATGCAGGGCAAATCAACAAGCTCACCTAATTTCCCTCCTCTCCAGAAGCTCAAAGTTATCTTCCTATTTTTCCACCACCACCACTAGGAGCACATAGAAATACCCTGTGTTTTTGCGTATGGTGAGCATGTGACTCACTATTTTCCGCCTATGTGACAACGCTGGTTTTTGGTGATTTGCTTGGTGCTGTCACATGTGACACCGCTGGTTTTTGGTGATTTGCTTGGTGCTGTCACATGTAGGCAGGGAGTCATCCATGATTTGCAACTTACCCAGGGCTTCCTCTCTTCACTTCTGCTGGCTGAATGGAGCACCAGAGAAGAGAAGAAAAAAAGTATGAGCTGCTAGGGAAAGGAGCATTTAAATGGTGCTATTGCTTTGCCTTTTATAAGAACACAATGCTAAATAGAAAGAAGAGTCTAGAACTGCTTTTTAGATCAACAGTTTTCACCTTAGATTTCATGAAAATCCGTGCTGAGATAAATATGCAGTTTTCACCTTACATTTCATGAAATCTGTGCTGAGATACATATGCAGGCTATCAATACTGATCGTCTTGTGAAAATGTGGAAAGCCTAAGTTATTTCATTATTACCCTTTGGCCCTAGGCCAAGTTACAGCCCTAGATTAGATGCAGTGATTCTTAGGAGCAGAGTAATAAAATAAGGTTCAATCCAAGCACATTTTTGTGCCCACAAACATTTGCCTTAGTTTTGTGTTGTGTCTATAAAGCTTACTGGTGGGGCATGCATGTATGTATGCAGATTACAATTTTAAGGCTACAGTTCTTTAAATATGTGGCATTAAGCAAGCAGGAGCCTCCAAGGTCTTCCATAGGGTAAATCTGTTCTAAAATTATTGATTCTCCATTTGAAAATGGCAAATATTGGAAAAAATGAAGGGCCAGTGAATACAACATTTGCTGTAATAACACTGAGACCTCAATTGCTGATTGAAGAAAGGGTGAGCAATAAATGGCTTTAAGCATGGATATTCTGATAAGCATTCAGCAGTGAGTAAGCAGTGAACATCAAATGCTTTTAAGTATGCTACTAAGTTACACATTAACACGATGAAGACCCATAAGGTTCTTATGAACCTTACGAGTAAGCAATTTTACATACAAAGTGGGTCAAGGTATTTGCATTGATGTCTGACTGTTTTACCTCTTAAGCTGTAAATAAACCTATGATCAAGCAGATAAAGAGCATGGACCCATTTTTTTTTAGACATTTATCTTGTGCATTGGGAACAGGCAAGGTTCTGAAGCCACTATCTGCAACTGCCAATGTGTATGTTATATCCCAGTCTCTCTTTTGGCAACAGTAGGGTAAGTGTACATGCCATTATACCTAACTATGTTCATACCACACTAAAATGTAGCTAGAAATCGGCATTTGAGGACAAATAAGTACATTCTTTCTGCTATAAAGACCTTTGAAGCAAAACAGCAATTTATTTGCCCCTACATATAGACCCTGCTCTTGGTGATGTCTGAGAAAAGCTTGTTATAAATGTTTGTTGTTGTTGATGTTGTTATAGATTTCACTCATTCATTCATTTATATCCTTTTAATTCAATATGAAGAAATGTATTTCCCCTGTAAAACATGTCTGACGTCTGATATGCCCATGCTAGGTGAGATTGAAAAATAATGCATGTTCCAGTCCTGTGGCCAGAGCATTATCTTCATCTAGCACACAGAATTGATAAACACAATATGTCTTTTTACTGCTCTGTGAGCCATATCTACTTAGTTGTAGGTTGACATCAATTCTGATTTGTCACTTCTCTGTTCATTCAAAAACTTGTGCCATTCTCAGCCTGTCTTCACTGATAAGTGATGAGACACAAGGCAATTCAATTTCATTTGAAATTGAAAAGCTTTCAACAAATTGAACCAGTTTACTGTTTTGTAGTCTTGTTTGAACTTTAAGCTATTTCACACATACACTTCTAAATCTTTTTTCAGAGACTTAATTAATGAATTTGATAATGTGATATTTATCAGAAAACACACTACTCCTTCAACATAAAGCTACAGCTCTGAATGTAAAATCTATAAAATCTATGTGTAAAGAACTAAGTGCATGCATGATTCTAAACAGGGCCACCATTAGAAATCATGGAGAACAGTGCAGCCTACCTGAGACATGTGCTCTGCACACATATGCCATAAGACAAAATATGGTTTTTTATTGTGCCACAAATAAAAATCTCAAGTGATCCTTAGCACGAAGGATACATTTAAAAAAAATACATTCTTCCAATTGCTTATGCTTTTTATGCATGCAGAATATACACAGAGAACTAAAACCAGAAATTGTTGAGACAATTAACATCAATGAGAGGTGTATGTAATGTACAACATGGCGTATACAGTGCAGTGGACAGGGCTATATGATACAAAATATAGTGAATAGAGTTCAGCAGTAAGGACTATGTAATGAACAAAATAGTTTGTAAAGTGCAGCTTTCAGGCATATGTAATGTACAACAAAGCCTATAAAGTGTAGCTAATAGGACTGTATAAAGTACAGAATGGTGTATAGAGTGCAGTGGTCAGGACTATCTAGTATATAGAGTATAGCAGTCAGGAATATGAAACATACAACATAGCATAAGAATGAGTGATCAGGACTATGTATTGTATATATTGTATAAAGTGCAGTGGTCAGGACTATGTAACATACACCATAGTACATACAGTTCAGTTTTTAGGGTGCAAGGATCAGGACCATGTTTTTACACAGTGCAGCCATCTCTGGCTTCTTTCTTATCCTTTAAAAAAAATTCCCCAAACCTAATTAGACATTATTTACCATTTAGAAATCCCCAGCACACACACACTTGCAATGCCACTGACCTAAGGGCAGCCGCATCCAGGCCCCTATGGGGCCCAGGAAAACTACGGCATAACAGATGAACCTGCTTCTTACTGTTTGCACATGTAAGACACAAGGTTTCTCCATAGACGTCTGTGAGAAATCAAACCGCAGGATGAATTGGAACTGTAAGTAACAGTGTTAAACATAAGATATTTGTTTCAATGAATGTGTGCACCTGAAAGTTTCCAGTGATTATCTTCTGCAGGCAGGTGTTTGATGTATGAATATGTGTAGTTTTACTGCTAATGGGACTGTCAGTTCTACATGTGTGCTTCATAAAATTTTTGTTGTTTATACTGTGGCACGATGGAGAATAAGATAGCTCAGATGGGACCTTAAGAATGCCAGAGTGCCTGCTGTAAAAAAAAAAACAGAAGGGGTGGCATAATATATGTGGAAGTTCTTCTTGCTGGTGAATCTGGTTCCTCTTAAGAAAACATCAGTAGACCCAACGTGTATTTTATTATTTGCTGCCCGTGGGCTGTGATTCTTAACTGATTGCTGAGATCTTCACTGTGCGGCCTGCCTGAGGCTCTATAGCCCGTTCTTTAAGATCTTCCAGTCACACTGATGTTTTTGCTTATGTAAATTTGTAAGTTTGATTTTTTTAAATATATTTTTTAAACGTTTATTGAATTGTAAAGCTAGTATTATGTTAGCTGAATTTTTTTCCTCTTCGTCCCTACATAATTTATATTGAGGTTGTCTAGCCTATGACTTTCCAGAATGCCAGAACCAGTTGCCAATTTAAAAGGTTTGCTACAGACAATGCAAAACTATGTTAGTATGTTACATTACTGTTGCATGTGTAAGCATTTTATTCATTTACATAACACCAGTGCTTTGCTTGGAACTTCAAACCTTTTTGATCAGTCTTTCTAATCTAACAATAGACAGTTACACATGGATACTGAAGAGAATTTGGGGTGCAACCTAACACTCCAGTTTATTTTATAGCTCCCACTTCCTATCTTAAAAGAAAAAAACAAATATCTGTACAGTAAAAGGTTTGTTTGCTAATCGCTAGTGAAATCTTGGCACAGTTTTACTTGTCAAAAGTGTGATATTTACATTGACAAAGGCAATTATTATTCCCTTGGATATTTCAATATTGTTTTATATTTTGGCAGGGATAATAACCACTTTGCAGTTGAGGCTGACTCGAATTAATTGTCAAAACCGTAGTGACTAAAATAATAACTCCTTTGTGTGAAGTTTTGTTTTAATGCTTTATGTAATCTGAATATAGCTGACTCTATAAATGTAGTGCATAATGAAAATGAACTTTTTAAGGATTTATGGCTCACAAAATAAACATTTTATATTTTCAAATGTCTTCTTACAGTGTTCGGAAGAACATGGGAAGTTAACTGCTGAATAAGGATTTTATTTTAATCCTTTTTCTTACAGGAAGTTGAACTGTGCCGTCTGAATAGCCAGGACAGACTGGGCCTAACTGTCTGCTACCGGACTGATGATGAGGAAGATACAGCAATATATGTCAGTGAGGTAAAAAGAAAATGACTGACAGTAATAAGGAAAGGTGGAAAGTGGGTGTGAGAGTGATCAGCCTGTTATGTCTGGATCACAGAGACTGGCTGTTATAAAGTGCAACAAGAGTCTGAGTGGAAAACATTTGAAGGGTACAAGAAATTCAACTACTAAATAGCCCTTATGGGAGCAAATTCGATTGTTTTCATCCATGTAGTGGGTTTTATGGTACACCTTTATGAGATTAAAATATTTACTGCAAGCATATTAACTGATTTTACGAGAACAAACTTAAACATTACTTGCTAAAGCTCACTGCCCTCTGCACATCGTCGCTGCTCTTTGCATTTTTCTGTTCAATAAACCTGCTTGTTTTGAATAAATGTCATTGAAATTCAGCCCGGCCTATCCATGCCAACCATCTTTCAGCTGTAGACATGTTTCTTTGGTCAGATCCAACAGTTCTCATTGCCAGCTGGGTCTTGCTTGACAGCAGCCTTTCAAATGCACCATTACTGTATATAGTCATACAGCCATTAAGTGATGAGGATAGTGTTTGCCTGAAGACAAAACATTTTAATTTTTTTTTCCTTTTACAGTTTCTACAGAATATTTTTTTTTGCAATTGTATGACATATGTCTGCATTCCCATTTTTTTAGGTAAAAGTTTCAACAGATGTGCTTGGTCCATTTGGATGATTTAAGCAGACCTATAATCAGTAGTATAGCAAAGTGGTAATGATGTGGTATATCAGGAATATAGGCTCAATTATTATTTATCATCCATAATGCCTATAATCCCCTGGCCACCCTAAAACCCACACAGTTACAATATGCATATACTGGCTTTAAAATGAAGTCTATGCATCCCATGCTTCCCTTATGGTGAATAATAAGTGTTAATGAGGGTTAGGGACAAGCATTGCATATTATAGTGTACGGTTTTTGGGTTGGCTGGGTTGCTGTTAGAAATAACTGTAATCTAAAGTGTAGGATGTGGAAAATTAGCATTGCCTGGCTTTGGATATCAGCATGAATATTTGTTGCAGTGCCCCAGAGTTATTCTTGGGCCATTCTGTAGTGGTTAACAAGTTGACAAACAAAGTCATTAATGGGTACTGTCTCTGATTGTACCTGCTGCTAAACCAGTCAGTACTAGTGTGCAACTGACTACACAGTATGCAATCTAGGCAATATGTCAGTTTAATGGAGATGTAAACACAAAGTTGAAGGAAATAGTGATAACTAACATGTATGGCTGTGACTGCCATAACAACTTAAGGGTCTGTTATCAATGTATTCACCCAAGAGTCACTCAACCTTTACCAAAGATTCATCCATTTTTTTCATAAGATTCCATTAGAAAAATGGGTGACTCTTGGGTGAATGTTGTGTGAATCATTGATAAAATGTTGATGACTCCTTAGTATTTAATGGTGGATATATAAACCATTGGCTGTGTATTTGTGTTTCTGTTCATACACTCCATGATAGATGAAGGGTGATTGCAAGTACTCCAGGAGGAATATTTCTTATTGCTGGTAGGATTGCTTGTTGCTACCTCTTCCTCAGTAGTACACCAACTGACACCAACTGTACAACAACAGAACATTATTTGGCAGAAGAAGAAAAGGCATGGTGGACAACTGGTGTAACAAATGATCATGAAAGTTGAGATTTTGAATTAAAACCAAACTAAGGAGGAGGATGACTGAGTTGTATCTATATTTGGCGTTTTCATACAGCTCTTCCTCTTCAAGTAAAGCTAGCTTACAGTTGAAAGAAAGCCTGAAACTGCAACATACAATACCACTTTAATTAAAAAAAAAATTTTTAAAAAGCAATATGAATAGAAATGAGTCTGATAATAGATAGATACAAGATGACAGAATTATCATTAGATTTGATAGAATGAGTAGAATGTGGTACTTTGCTAAATCAAAGTGAAGGCTTTGACACAAATTAATCAGTCCACTTAGCCTGCAGGACAAGTTAGGAGACACCATATTGTCTTCCATTTCTTCCCTACATTTTTAATATTAAAAAAATTTTTTCAAAATGTGTGGAATGGAGTACCTTTGTGTTAGAGCCCAAAATATAATAAAGACTGGCCAACAACAAGCAAAAAGCAAATGGACCTTGTAAATATATCTTTTTTTTAACATGAGAATGTGCATTGAAAATTAACTGTTTGGTCAGACACTGATGCTCCATGAACAATCAAAAGTGCTAGACAGATATTTTAATCACTGTGACCTGAAAGTTGAAACATATACAGTACATGTGGATAGAATAAGCTGCCTGTTCTAGTTTGAAGGAACATATTTGTATGCTTGATTTTTGCACTACACAGAGTGGTTGTATCTAAGAGAGGTCAAGCAAGATGCTAGCCCTTAAGCTCCTAAGTCTGCTCCTATATAGCCTTCATTTTCTCTATTTAACCCAGCAAAACTGTATATGATTGTAATTATTTTTTACATTTTCAAGCCTAAAATCATTAATTCACCTTCATCTCCCTGGGGTAATCCTGCAAGGCTAGTTCCAAGAATAAAAAGAAAAATCCTCTATAATTACACTGGCCTTTGCCATTAAATAACCCTACGTGGTTTATTATTTTTTTGTGACAGGCTATTACTAAAAAGGAATATTGAACCTTTTATATAAGATGTAACCTAAAAGCAAATGCTACACTTGAGGTGCTTCTGTTTGAAAAATAGCTTTTGGCATGACAGGGCCTAATGAATGGTTTAGGATAACCATCAACAGAAGGTGATAGATAGTGTTCCCACTCTGGACAGTGGATCATTATTCATTACAGAAATATTAAACATCTGAACAGCTCAAGAGCCCTCCATGACTGTCAAGGTTTAACTTAATAAATCATCAGTCACAATGGCAGGATATTTGATAATGCTTATTTACAGTAGGATGGAAGAAAATTCATGCCCAATAGTCTTAATTATTAAAATATATAAATTTACTTTCTAAAAACTGTAGAAAAACCTTTTTGTGTGAAAATAACAACTTAATTTGGAATTGGTTAAAATATCAACTCTTTTACATTTATTTCCCTAAATCCAAAATAGATGTAATATGTAATACTTTACAAGTATAAAAATTAAGTTTTTAGAACAGCTGTAAATTATAAAAATGGGGAACCATTACTTCACTATAACAGGTCCTCTACATTACCATAAACAATGCTTTTTACCATTTGAGCGGGTACAAGAATATTTTAATTTTTCCCTTTTCTGTTTGTGTGAAGCAGGACTTTCCTTTTTTAAAAGCTATATTAACCTCCCTGGCAGTATTCCCGAGTGTAGCTCGGGGTTACTTTTCCATATCATAAGCGGTAACCCCGAGCTACACTCGGGAAAGCCGCATAGCATTTACTTACCTTGTCCCTCGAGCCGAGCTGTGTTCTGCGGCCGATGCCGGCTTCCGGGTTCCATCACTTGCAAGCGTACGCGTCGCAGGGGTGCGGAACTGGCGGGATATTAAAAAAAAAACCCGACAAAGACGAAAAAAATTCGAAAAAAAATAGACCGAAAAATGACACGAAAAAAATTAAAAATCATACCGCCAGGGAGGTTAATATATTAGTAAACTGGATAATGCTTGACTAAAGGATTTAATATGATACCTAAAATAATAATGATAATAAAAATAACCAAAAATGTGAAGCATGTGCAGTTTTCTGATCAAGAGCTATAATGAGCAAATTAGAGGTTTAAAGCATAACCCCAATCTGCAGAAAACTTTTGCCAGTCAGTTGGCTTTCTTGCCATACCTTTGTGCCATAATGAACTCCTGTGCGCGTGCGTGGGAGTTACGTCAATCAATAAGGCTGAAGATGCATTTGGAAAAGGCCGGGCCAAGATGTCTGTGCTGGCAAGGGAGTGGGTGGGGTTGAATTTACTTCCACTTTAAAAATGGAAGGAAAAAAAAGAGGTCATATGACCATCCTTGATCTTTTCATTTTGCTTTATACTGACCTGTGCGAAGAATCAGGTGGAGCCAGCAAATCACTGAAGTAATACCCGCTAAGCAGACAACCTACCTAAATCTAAACTAATACACACAGCTTATGTGAATCTAAATGTGAACATAAGTGGACAGTATAACAGACATGTATTTCATGTGTTTGCAGCACAGACACCATTCTGAGCATCTTCCATACTCCTTACTTCTCCTGTATAAGTGGATAATATAGCATACTTTATCACTTAATACAACAAGAAACACAGTAAGTAAGCTATACTCACTGAGAAACAACACTGCATTTACACCTAGAGAGCAACACAACACTGTACAGTTCACTATTAGCTGCAGTTCCTGAGTCCTGGAAGGATTCAGTTGCAGAGAGGGTGGGGTCTGCAGTTATTCTTTCTCATCCAAAATAAACTGACTCTTTGTGTGCACCACACAGGACACAACAGTGGTGATTGGCACCCCCTAAAGCCCAGAATGCATGTCTAAGACAGTCTAAGACAGTCAATGGGTCTTGTGGGAGTCTGGACATCTGCAGACAAGAGATATGCCTGCTGAAATTCCCTTCAAAGGGAAGTGGGGAAAGAAAGGGTAGAACATTACAGGGCAGCATAGTTTTCCACCGAGCATCAGAGGCAGAAGCAGATGGGACAGAAACAGGTCTTCCTTAGGGAGTATTAATGACATCTTCCTAATGGGGAGCAAGCAGGTACTGAACATTTCCTTTCCAAGAAGAAACACAGGGAATTAATGCATAAGTGTGTCATTTTTTAAAATCTATCATTTGAGTCAGGGAGAATATTGCATAGGGTCACCGAGAAATGCAGTGCATTAAGGATGGGCAGACGCCTCACCACATGTTCTTGCTGGGAAATGTTCTTATCTATGGTCAATCTTATTGTACACAACAGAACCAGAGTACTCTGCCTTTAGAGATCCCTAAATATCATATGGCATAAAACCTGGCATCCACTTGTTTACACTTGTATACTAGAAAATTCTCTAGCAGCAAGATACATTTTTATTTATTTATTATTTTCATTTAGGTTGCTCCAAAAAGTATTGCAGCAAGAGATGGTCGCATTCGAGAAGGAGACAGGATTTTGCAGGTCAGTCTACAAAGGCTTCTTCAATTTCTTCTATATTTTTGAGAATTTGTTATGTATCCATGTAATCCATGTTCCAATGCAAAAAATTGTAACATTTTAGAATTCAATTATTATTAATTATTCAATTATTATTAATTAATAATATATTCAATTAATAATTAGAGAATCTTTTTTGAATGTAACTAGCAAAAACACACACACACACCATGAATCATAAAGAGTTAACAGGGCACTGCACAGCTTTTTTTCTCTGCTATAACGTTCATTATTCATCAATAAACATTAGGTACATAGGAATTAATTTATTGACCGTTTACTGCATCTATTCTCTAGGTTTGTTTCTGAGAAGGTGCTTTCTAATGAAGTATTGAAATGTACCTGTTAGCACGCTATTTTCACCTTTTAATCACTTGAAGTCTGCGGTGTTAAACCCCCTTCCTGTCCAGGCCATTTTTCAATATTCAGCGATGCAGTAGTTTGACATTTATTCCGTCATGCAATGCTGTACTGAAATGAATTTTATACCATTTTTGGGTGGCAGAACAGAAGGACTGTTTTTTGACAGTAGCCAGGCTGGATTTACTCTCCCTGCAGCCCCAAGCTGGGTTCCTCAATGTGCCCCCCTCCCTGCCAACCCCTCCCCGCCCCCCAATGGAGAATGGCAATGGCAATGGGCTATTTTTAATTACTTTTATTGTTTCTTTTTTTAACTTTTTATCACTTTTTTAAAAAAATGTATTTGGTTTTTTACTTTTTTTACATTTTTATTTATCTTATCTTTAACTTTTTAATTTTTTTTAATTTTTGGCTTATTTTTTATTTATTTTTTTATTTCTTATTATTTTCTTTATTTTTTTATAATTGTTTCAATTATAAATGACCAGCTGCAGTTTTATTACAAGTGATCTTGGCGACATCGCCGAGATCACTTGTAAAGAAACAAGTGGCTTCCTCACACTACAAGCAAGGTTAAATGTAGAAAACAACTTACCACCCGGCGCCCAAAACTGCATGTCACAGGGTCGGGATATTCCACACTGCAACCACCCCTGTGCTCCCTGCCACCCCGATGGCCTTGTGGCAAATCCAGCTTCTATTCCTTATTTAAGTGTCTAAAATAACTGTATTTGATACATAGCTAAATTTTTCATCCCCCCACTACATAGCAGTCAGATACACTATATTGGCAAAAGTATTGGGACACTTACCTTTACACGCACATGAACTTTAATGGCATCCCAGTCTTAGTCTGTAGGGTTCAATATTGAGTTGGCCCACCCGGTGCACAGTCATGTTGGAACAGGAAGGGGCCATCCCCAAACTGTTCCAACAAAGTTAGGAGTACGAAATTGTCCAAAATATCTTGTTATGCTGATGCCTTAAGAGTTCCCTTCACTGGAACTGAGGGGCCAAGCCCAACCCCTGAAAAACAACCCCACACCAAAATCCCCCTTCCACCAAACTTTACACTTGGCATAATGCAGTCAGGCAAGTACCGTTCCCCTGGCAACCACCAAACCCAGACACATCCATCGGATTGCCAGACAGAGAAGCGTGATTCATCACTCCAGAGAACACATCTCCACTTCTCTATAGTCCAGCGGCGGTGCGCTTTACACCACTTCATCCGACCCTTTGCATTGCTCCTGGTGATGTAAGGCTTGGATGCAGCTGCTTGACCATGGAAACCCATTCCATGAAGCTCTCTGCGCACTGTTGTTGTGTCAGTCTGAAGGCCACACGGGGTTTGGAGGTCTGTAGCTATTGACTCTGCAGACAGCTGGCGACTTCTGTGCACTGTGCGCTTCAGCATGTGCTGACCCCGCTCTATCATTTTACGTGGCCTATCCACTTCGTGGCTGAGTTGCTGTTGTTCCCAGTTGCTTCCATTTTGTTATAATACCACTAACAGTTGACCGTGGAATATTTAGTAGCAAGGAAATTTCATGGAAAACCTAAAACCAAAGATTTGAACGGGTATCCCAAAACTTTTGGAAATATAGTGTATTTACTTTTGTTATAATGCTTAACAGTATTTCCAGACATAATGTACATATCTACCCACATTCTGTTTAAAAACCAGTCAAAAGCCAATTTGAAATTATCCAAAAATAAAGTAAACCTGTACATGCACATCAATATAATTTGCATGCACGTGTGACCAAAAATGACCTGAAAAAATGATGCCGTCAACAGCAGCAGCTTGTGACCACTGAATATGAAATGAAAATAGGAAATAAAATACAACTTTAGTAATATATAGGCACTAAAAATAGCCCATGTTATGTATCTAATTTGTTTTTGAAGCACTGTATGGTGGGAAAGATCCACATCTGACAGCCCCATAAGGTCTTTGCTATGACACAAGGATTTCTGTGTATGTTTATATCCATGCTAGCTATTGCAAAAATGTATGATGTGAGCAAACAGAAGGCCCACCAGATTCAATTACTGTATGTGTAGTTGTGAACTAGAAGCATTGAAAAAGAGAAGCAAACCATTAAGGTGTGATTACAGTAGGGCTGCGGATCGGGCAAACATATATATATATATATA